GGATCCTGGTATCACCCTCTGCCTTTTCCCCAGAGGCCCCGTTCCAGCCTGTGTGCCACGTCCCGTGGCTCCCCTCCGTGAGCCGCCCACTGGGCACCCACTTCAGCCTACCACGCCCAGCGTCCTCACAGTCCCCGAGGCAGGAGGTCACTGCTGGTCTGGATGTAGCCTTGGTCCTCCTGCCTCCCCTGAGGTGGCCGTGGGTGCATCAGGAGCCTGAGAAGCGCCCACCTCGCTCCTCACAACAGCCCTGTAATTCTGGCAGCAAAAGGCAGCCCACAGTTTGCAGGATTAGCCCCGAGGAGCAGGGTGGGCAGGAAGTGGCAGCAATGACCCCGAGACATGGGCCAGGTTGTCACCCCGCCCTTCCTCTCAGCTCCTGGAGGCACCCTGGGCACAGCCCCAGAGCCACTGCTTGACCTTAGGAGACAGGTGGTACAGGACCTGCGCCTTCTGGACAACGCCCCAGGGACCTGGGAGCCCCAAGCTTGGGAAAATGGTACCCAACACACCCACGCGGTTCTCCGAAGCCCTTTCTAGGGCTCCCCAAAAGGAGCCTGCTCCCCGCCCCATCCCGTCTTCCTTTGCGTGAGGGCGTGGCTGCCCGTGTCTGTCCCTCACATCTCTCTTCCTCTCTGTCTCCTCCTCACTCCCTCTCCTCTGCCTGGGCTCCTGCCACCTGCACCCTCCCGACTCCTGCGGAGATGTTGGGCTCTGGGGGAGGCTCCCAGCCCGGCCTCCTGGACACGCCATGCTTTTGCCTGTTTATCGGGGCTGGTGTTTCCAGAACCCTATGGCAGGGCTTAGGTCGTGACCCGGGAGCCATGTCTTCTCTGTGGGTCACCAAGTGCTTCCCACCGAGGGCTACACCAGGGTGGGGGCCCACAGCTGCCCTCACGAGGCACAGGAGGGGACAGCGCCTCCCTGCGTTTGCGAGATTGGGAAAGGTGCCTGGCTGTGCTCACCTGCCCACTGCGAACAGGACATCAGCTGCTCCGGGTGGCTCCCAGAGGCGCCTGCACTGGCCCTTCTGGGTTGAGGGCCCAGGACGACGCCTGTGATTGGGCTGCCTGGCGCCCTGCAAGGGTTCCAGCAGACGGGCTGGTTCTGGGGGGCAGTGGTGCTCCAGCTGCTGGGCACTGCCAAGTGCTAGCACAAGTGGGAACACGGTCCTTTTGACTTTTCCGAGGAAGTCAGGAGTTGAGGTTTTGCAAGAGTCTCTCTGTGCCTGGCCGCCTATGGAGGCTGTTGTTTCCATGTCGGTCTCTGGGCTGGGGCTGGGAGGGGCCTGGGGGCTGGAGGACAGGAGCTCAGCCCTGTGCCTGTGGCAGGAGGCAGATGTCCTCACCTTTGTGGCGGGACATGGACAGTGGCCTCAGGGCAGTCGGCCCATGGACCGGGTGGCCTCCCTGATCGCCCCTGCAGGTGTGAGGTACTGCCACGGGGCTATGGGACCTGAAGCAAAGGCGGCCTGTTGTTGATGCCGCGTAACAGGCACCTGCCGCCGGCTCTGGTCCTGGAGGCCTCTGTGGGGCTGGGGTCAGACCCTCCTTCCGAATCTGAGGTTGAGGTGACACCCAGTGAGGGAGTGCGGCGGAGCTGCTAGGGCAGATGCGGCTGCTTTCCTTCTGGGCTGGGGCCCCTCGGGGCAGGCCCGTGTTGCAGCTCTGTCTTCCCAGGGCCCGGGACAGTGCCCAGCATCGCAGGAGGATGCTGTGGGCAGCAGGGCACAGCTGTGGCAGGAGGGGACAGCGGGCACAGGGAGGCCTGGAGGCCAGCCGTGGGGTCCCTGTGACATGGAGGGGTCTGGGGGGTGCAGGGCAGTGGGACAGGCCAGAGGAGGCGCCCAGGCACCCCAAGCCGCAAGTACAACCAGGGCAGGAAGGGAGGATGGGGGGATAGGCTGGGGGGGGTCACAGGAGGGGCTCACTGGGGGCAGGGCCAGAGGGACTGATGGGGAGGGTGGGTCCTCGGGAGGGCAAGGCCAGGTGGGGACTGCATCTCAGGGAGGGGTGCCTGCCGTAGGAAGCTGAGGCTGGTGGGTGATGGGGCGCATCGAGCCAGGCCTGTGGGGCCCTGTGTGTGGACTGGGCCTCTCAGGAAGTCTCCCCAGTGGGGAGGGGCTGCACCTCTGGCCTGCGGCCAGGGGGCAGGTTTTGTAAGTTGCAATTAAAGCTCTTGGCCTAGTCAACCCAGCAGCGCAGATTAAAGGGCAGTTTGATGTGACCAGGGTGGCTTTGGCTGGAATCGCCGGCCACAGAGGCCAGGGTGGCTTTGGCTACAGATGCTCGTTTTTCCCGTTTGATCTTCTCTGCGTCTCAGAGGTAGTTGTGACTTGGCCCTTAGAGAAAACGCTGTACCTTGCAGGGCTCAGGTGCACGTGGATATTTCTTGTTTTAATGGGCTTTTCCTCTGCGTTGGGAACTCAGCCACGAGCAGGTTGGCGCAGCCCTGGCTGGTGGGGGCAGCGTGGCTAAGTGGTGTCGTTTTGCTTGGTTGTTACAGCTTTGGTTGTTTATTGTAGGCTGGCGGGTTGGAGTGCGGGAAGCGTTTCCAGAAACCAGCCATGGGTCTGTGCAGATCCTTTCTGTCTTGAACAGCCGCGCCCCTTCTCCTGCCAGCGGTGTGTTCGGGCTCCTGTCTGTGACCAGTGACATTCCCCACAAGCGCACTCAGAAGCTTTTACAAACACGCCAGGACCGCGCTTGCGTTTTCGCTGTGATGATTTCCTGCCCGGAGTGCGTGACGAGCTTGGGTTCTCACTTCACATTTTCAGCAAATCATGAGGAACATTTAAAATCCCTTAAAAAATACCCCACCTCGCCCACCGCGCCGCGGGCTCCTCTGGGTTCTGGCACGTTCCAGGAAGCTGCTGCTGCTGCCTGTCATCTGGGTAGCGATGTGGCCTCCATGAGACGTCGGTGAGGCCTCTTTAGCAAGGGGTGCTGTGCACGCCGGACCCCAGGCCCCCGGAACATCACTGCGGCTTGTGAGGAGGCTCGGAGCGCCCCACACCGTGCAGGAGGCCCCAGCTCTGCCCGCTGCCCTGACGGGAGGTGAACTGGGCGCCCAGGTGGGGGGAACCCAGAACTCTGGGGGGCTTCACCATGCAGGTTCCTTGCACCCTCCCCAGATCCCAGAGGCCTGGGCTGGGGCTTCAAAGGGTGGACACAGAGGCCTTGGGCCGCCTGCCTCAGCATTTAGGGTCACTTTCCCTCCCTCCCAGCCCCCCACACTGACAGCGCCTGCCTCCCTCAGCCTGGGCGTTCGTGGCCTCGGCTGCCCTTAAGACACCATTTCGGTCGGCAGCCAGCTCCTTGCACCTGGACGAGCCCCCATGAGGGCCTTGAGCTTCCAGCCCCTGGTCCTTCCCTCGAGGACGCTGTGTCCATGGGGACGCACCTCTGGGGCTCTGGGCACGGCTCACTGCTCCACAGAAGCCTGGGACTGCAGCCCCAGCAATTATTCTGATTTAAAAAATAATAATAATAACAACCTCAAGCTTGGTTTTTAGAGAGGATTTGTTTTATGCCAGCGTCCACCTGGACAGAGCTGGCCCCTCCCAGCGGCGCCTTCCTGCTGCGTGGACGCTCGAGGGCCTCGCCAGGCCGTAGCGGTCAGTGCCGGAATGTCAGGACCGCAGCCTCCAGGAGAGAGGCCTACTGTCTAATCATCAGCTGTTTTGTTTCTTATTAAGATGAGGGCAAGTCCTCCTGCCTCCCACTGGGTGCCGCCCACCCTGCCTCGGCACCTCCCTGGGCGGTCGGCAGGAGACCTCAGCTCCGTGGGGGCCCTTGGCTCAGCCACCAGGAGGGCGGGGTCCTGGGTCTGACTCAACGATACTCAGCCTTGGCAGCAGCACCTCAGAACCCATGTGTGGGTGGAGTCTGGCCCGGTCCCTCTCCCTGCCTGAGGCCTGGGGTGGCAGCCTTCCACCATACACTGCTCTGACCGTGGCCAGTGATCACGGTGGCAGGCGGTGCTTGGGGGTCCAGGTGACCTCGAGGGAGACCCTGCTCAGCCTCCTGCCCGGGCCAGGCTTCAGGGACCCCAGGGGGGCTGGCAGCCCCATGGGAGGTCAGAAGGGCACCTGACTCCCCCAACAGGAGCAAAGGATGAAGCCATGGGGACCGTGAGGGCAGTCCCAGCTGGGCGGCCCTGAGGTCCTGCGTCCACTCACAGAGACCAACTCAGCCCCAAAGTCATCTCCAGGTTCAGGCCCTGGCTGCCCCAGTGGACAGGACTCAGCTCTGCGCTGTGTCTCCTCCAGGGCGCTCCACAGCTTTGCAGGTACCTGGAGTCAGAAACAAACACCGTTGCCCATCCCTCCAGCCCACCTGTCTGAGAGCTGCCTGCTCTCAGGAGACGCTCCGGGGCCGGGGGTGCTGGGCCGAGGGCTCCGCACCTCCCCTACTGCCCTGACCACGGTCTGTCTCCTTTCTCCGTGTCCTGTGGCTATAGATTACCCGTGAGGACCCACGAGAGCATCCGCTCAGCTAACGCCACTGGGATGAAAGGTTTTCCCATCTTCCGTAACTGGTCTCCACCCGCAGCCCTAGGAGGGGCTCTGGGTCCTGGGCAGCCACAGGGGCAGTGGCTGGAGTCCTCTCAGCAGGCTCCCGTGGACAGTGCTGGGAGCAGGCGCCAGAGCAGAGGGGCAAGTATGTCTCCTCTTGCATTTAGTGTGATCCAGCGTGGGGCCCAGGCCAGGGCGATCTCCAGGGCAGGACTGACTTTGAACAGATTGTTCAGGCAGCTGCATCTTCCACCTGAAAAGGCTTTCGGGACCCGACCACATGGGAATGCCTGTGTGTTTTGCTTCCCAAAAATCTGAGGCTGAGTGGGGCATGAAGGGTTGGTATTTCTGGACCCAGAATTGAGACTCCCCAGGAGGCCTGAGGCGAGTGTCCGGCTCCAGTCTACCCATCCAGAGCTTCTGCCTGTCTCCCCGACCTGCCCACTGAGTTGTGCAGCCACCGACTGCCCCGTTCTTCCTGCAGGAGCTGCCCAATGGGGACCCCAAGGAGGGGCCTTTCCGGGAGGACCAGTGTCTGCTAGAGGGTAAGTGCAGCCTCTGCCGCCCCCGCCCCCCAAACCTTGAAGATTCCACCCCGTACCAAGGCAATGCCAGCAAGCCACCCATCAAACACCCCTGCGTGCGGAGCCGGAGGCACTTCCCAGGTTTAGACGCACTTTGTATAAGTGCCTAGTAGCTCGACTCGGGTCCTCGCTGGACTGGCAGCTGGGATCTGGCAGTGGAGACGCAAAAGGCCCCACCTGTGGCCAGAGCCCTAAGCGTGAGCTCTGCGAGCCTGTGTTTGTGGGTGGGGTGGCTCCGTACAAAGCTGACCTGTACGTTCTCAAGTCAGCCCTGGGCTATGTGAGACGCTGGCCTGGCCTGAGTCACTGCCATGGCCGTGTGCCTCGGTGGTGCCAGTCCTACCTGTGGCATGTGGCAGGTTGGCACTCGGGAGGCTGCAGGGAGGCCGGGCAGCAGGGCCGCCTTCAGACAGCTCCTGAGACTAAGAGATGTACCCAGACCCCCTTGGTGGGAAGGCAGGCCCAGAGCATCGTCCCGGCTCAGGCTCGGACCCAGAGCATCGTCCCGGCTCGGGCTCGGACCCAGAGCATCGTCCCGGCTCAGGCTGGGAGGCGCACCTGTCTGCGGGTGCTGAGCCGGGGCAGGCCCATGCTCCTATCCTGGGGACATGCAAGCACCAGAGAATGATGGAGTCACTGCGCCCCAGAAATGAGAGTGTTGTTCATCCATCCTGCCCAGAGGCTGGGGGCGGGGCCGTCTGTTGACACACTCAGTGCAAGGTGGCCTGCACAGCCTGTGGGCTCGGTGCCAGGGTTCTGGAGTGGAGGCCGTGGGGACTGTGTCTATGGGGAAGAAGGGGGGCCCCGGCCATCTTCCCCCATCCCTGAGGTGGTCGTCAGGGTCTGGAGCCACTGCAGCCTGGGGAGAAGAGAGCACACCTGTCTGTGACTGGCCAGGGAGGGACCTCCCTCCCCTCTGCAGGAGTCCCAAGATCAGGCTCTCGGCTCAGGCGTGTCTGGATGGGATCACGGTGCGGTGAGGGGAGGGCAGCGACGGCCCCCAGCAGGCACGTCCTCCATGTCCCCTCCTCCGGCCCCTTCACCATCTCTTGTCCCCCTAGTGGCACTGCCCCCCGAGAAAGCTGAGGGCCAAGAGCTCATGGGACATCTCCTCAGCGCGGATGACGGGGAGAAAGCAGCAAACCGAGAGGGTCCTCAAGGACCAGGCGGGCAGTGCCTCAACATTGACGTAGGTCTCCCTCCTGCCTTTCCTGCGGGGACACGTCCCTGGGGTTGGGGGCACAGGGACAGATGTGTGCTGCCCTAAAATGGGCATCTGTGGACACTGCATAGTTCGCTCAGTTTTTCCCACGATTTACCCAGTTTAAGGGAAAACTCCAACATGCAGCCAAAGTCAGCAGGAGCCAGGGAGGGGGCGGGAGCTGGAGGGGGCGGGATGTTGCTGTGAATTTGTCCAAAACCCACTGATCTAGCGTTAGATAACTTGAGCAGCGTTCCCAGCCTTGGCGCCCTTAGCACCACAGGAGTAATGCCAAAGCTCACTTGAGGGACAGCCCGTCTTCCCGCCTGCTGGAGGCAGAGCATGGGGCTTCCGTGTCCCTGGGAGGGCTCAGGGAGGATTGGGGTCTCCATGTTCAGTCAAGATTTCTGGAATTGACAACACTTGACAGTCAGTGTGACCTCTCCTCCTTCTGGGTAATGTGGGGTGCTTGCATGAGCTGAGACAGGTGTCACTGTGGGGAAACCGAGTCACGGGGCACGAAGCTGGGTCCCCCAGAGGAGGGCTGGAACTGGGCACGAAAGGGTCTGTTGGTTCCAGGGCTTTGGCTCCAGCCACGCTGCCCTCTACTCCCCCTTTCCAGCTGACACGAGGGACCCCTGGGAAAAGCCCCAGAAGACGCTGCCCCTTACGGAGTCGGGGGTCACTGGCGTGTTGGTGTGGTCCCAGCCCCCTGTGCCCCTGCAGGCACTCCAGTGTGATGTCTCGGTGGAGGAGGACCGTCAGGAGTGGACGTTCACACTGTACGACTTTGACAACAGCGGGAAGGTCACCAGGGAGGTAGTGAGCTTGTGTTTGCGTCAGGTCTGCAGGAAGAGCCACGCGGGCCCCGTGTGGGCAGCCGGGAGCGGGGGGACAGATGGACCGTGCTGGCCTCGAGGTATCTCGGGACAGGAGGGGACCGCCGGCCAGCAGGGCTGGCATCTCCCCAGGGCCCGTGGCTCGTGCATTGCCGGGCTGAGCCTGCGCCACCCATTTCTGCAGCGGTAGCTCCCATGCTGCGGGGCCGCCCTCAGGGCACTGGAGGCACTCGCAGGGCACCCGGCCATGACCGAGGCTGCTCAGAGAAGATGCCTGTGTCGGTCCCTGAGGTCTGTTGGCAGCTACGAGGATGGTGCAGGAAGGGGCAGGGCTGGGTGTGTCTTCTGGCAGGGAGGTGGGTGGCATCCCCTGCAGTCTGCTCTGTCAGTGACATCGATGCCCGGCCCCAGGACATGTCCAGCCTCATGCACACCATCTATGAGGTCGTGGGTGCCTCGGTCAACCACTCCTCGGGCGGCAGCAAGACCCTCCGTGTGAAGCTGACCGTCAGCCCGGAGCCCTCCAGCAAGAGGAAGGAGGATCCTCCCGCCGGCCAGGGTGAACAAGGCCTGGGGACACACAGAGGGACCTACTCCACACTGGCAGGGGCCTAAGCTGTGTGCTGGGGACAGGGAGGGACAAGTGAGCGGATGGAGGAGTGAGCGGCGGAATGAATGAGTGGACGAGTGTGTGAGTGTGTGTGAGCGAGTGAGTGTGAGTGTGTGAGTGAATGTGAGTGTGTGTGAGCGAGTAACGAGTGTGTGAATGAGTGTGTGAGTGTGAGTGAGTGAATGAGTGAGTGATGAGTGAGTGAGTGAATGAGTAAGCAGGTGAGTTAACGAATGGATGGCTGGGTAAGTGGGTGGGTGAGTGAGTGTGTGAGAGTGTGTGTGTGTTAGTGAGTGAGTGTGTGAGTGTGAGTGAGTGAGTGAGTAAGCAGGTGAGTTAACGGATGGATGGCTGGGTAAGTGGGTGGGTGAGTGAGTGAATTCAGTGGGTGAGTGAGGAGTGAGTGAATGGGTGAGTGAGGAGTCAATGGGTGAGTGCATGAGTCAGCAGGTGAGTTAATGAATGAGTGACGGGTGGGCGAGTGAATTGAGTGGGTGACTGTGAGTGAGGAGTGTGTGAATGGGTGAGTGCATGAGTCAGCAGGTGAGTGAGTTAATGTACGAATCAATGAGAGAATGAGTGAGTGCACGAATGTAGGAGGGAGGGAGTGACGGCAGGACCCCCTCTTTCAGACGGGATGCCCACCCACAGCAGGAAGGAGGGCGAGCTGGTAGAGGAGCCAAGGGCGGCCGACAGGAGGTTGTCTGCACATGTCAGGTGAGGGCTGGGGTGCCAGGGTGGGGCTGTGCCTTAGGCAGGAGCACCTTGGCCACACCTCTGCTTCCCGCACACCACAGGCCATGCACCATCCTCTAGGTCAGACCTGCTGGGTGCACCTGGGCTGGCAGCTCTATGGGGCACGGTCCCTTCCAGCATCTAGCACCCTGGCTGAGCTGGGCCTCCGAGTCTGTTGAAGCAGATGGCTTTGAGGGGCAGCAGCCACGGCGGCCTTGACACCCTCAGTCTGGACTTGCCATGGCTCCACTCAACAGCTTTGGGTGCAACAGGGCTACGGGTGGCTGGGACAGTGGCTGAAGGTAGTTGGGGCAGTGGCTGAGGTGGCTGGGGTGGTGCCTGAGGGTGGCTGGGGCAGTGGCTGAAGGTAGTTGGAGCAGTTGCTTAGGGGGGCTGGGGTGTGTCTGAGGGGGCTGGGGTGGTGGCTGAGGCTGGCTGAAGGTAGCTGGGGCAGTAGCTGGGGCGGTGGCTGATGGTGGCTGGGGCAGTGGCTGGGACAGTGGCTTAGGTGGCTGATGTGGCTGGGGCAGTGGCTGGGGGTGGCTTGGGCAGTAGCTGAGGTAATGACTAGGGGTGGCCAGGGCAGTGGCTGAAGGTAGTTGGAGCAGTTGCTGAGGGGGGCTGGGGTGTGCCTGAGGGGGCTGGAGTGGTGGCTGAGGGTGGCTGAAGGTAGCTGGGGCAGTAGCTGGGGCGGTGGATGATGGTGGCTGGGGCAGTGGCTGGGACAGTGGCTTAGGTGGCTGATGTGGGTGGGGCAGTGGCTGAGTATGGCTGGGGCAGTGGCTGAGGGTGGCTTGGGCAGTAGCTGAGGTAATGACTAGGGGTGGCTGGGGCAGTGGCTGGCATAGTGGCTACAGTGGTCCCAGTGTGGTCACCAGGGGCCACTACAGCGTGAGCGGCTCCCCAGAGCGCCTGTGGCTCTGGGGCATGGGACCTGGAACAGAGATTGCAGGGTTCTGGGGGGCGGTGTGACCTTCTCTGGATAGCACGTGGCTGTGTCTGTGCTGAGTCATCCACTCCTTCCTGCTCCTCGAGGAGGCGGGTGCTGGTCGGGTGCACCCAGGACCCCTGCCGCCTACTGCAGGCACCCCGTCGTCAGGGGTGCACCGCCCAGCCTGTGCGGGGGTCAGGCCTTTCTCTGTTCTCTACGCAGGAGGCCCAGCGCCGACCCCCAGCCCTGCTCAGAGCGGGGGCCCTACGGCGTGGACGAGAACACAGAGCGCAGGAACCACTACCTGGACCTCGCTGGGATTGAGAACTACACTTCCAGATTCGGCCCTGGTAGGTCCTGGAGGCCACCCTGGGTGCAAAGCACTGGATGTGGGTGCCCTTGAAGGTCCTGGATTCCTGCGGCCCTGAGTTGGGGGGCACCCCACCCGGCACCTAGGTCCTTCCACAGCTACCCGTTGGTGCCGCCCAAAAGCCAGGCGGGTGCCCCTTCTAGGTGTGTGCGTGGCAGGGGGTACCTGGTTCAAAGTGAGATGGAAGACGTCGGGTTTGCATTCAGGAAAATCCTGCCTTGGGGTGAGAAGTCGGTATTTTAGGGTAGAATCACCGGCTCACTCAATAGAGGAAGTCATCTAGTAGTGTGGATAGCAGGCAGTATGGACAGCAGACAGGCAGTGTGGACAGGAGGCAGGCAGTGTGGATGGCAGGCAGGCAATGTGGACAGCAGGCGGTGTGGACAGCAGGCAGGCAGTGTGGATGGCAGGCAGGCAATGTGGACAGCAGGCAGTGTGGACAGCAGGCAGGCAGTGTAGACAACAGACAGTGTAGACAGCAGGCAGACAGTGTAGACAGCAGGCAGACAGTGTGGACAGCAGGCAGGCAGTGTGGATGTCAGGCAGGCAGTGTGGACAACAAGTGGTGTGGACATCAGGCAGTGTGGACAACAGTCAGTGTGGACAGCAGGCAGGCAGTGTGGACAACAGGCAGTGTGGACAGCAGGCAGTGTGGATGTCAGGCAGTGTGGATGTCAGGCAGGCAGTGTGGACAACAGTCAGTGTGGACAGCAGGCAGTGTGGACAACAGGCAGTGTGGACAGCAGGCAGGCAGTAGACAACAGGCAGTGTAGACAGCAGGCAGGCAATGTGGATGGCAGGCAGGCAGTGTGGACAACAGGCGGTGTGTATGGCAGGCAGGCAGTATGGAGGAAAGCAGGCAGTGTGGACGGCAGATGGTGTGGACAGCAGGCAGTGTGGACAGTGTGGGCGACAGGCGGTGTGGACGGCAGGCAGGCAGTGTGGACGGCAGTGGCAGCCTGCCCAGCATGTGTTCATTCCCGACCAGCAGCACCCCCGTGTGGCCTGCAGGAAGATTCCTGGACCAAAGCCCAGGCCAGTCCCCAAGGGCTGGGGCCAAGTCCCTCTCATAATCCACACTTTAGGGTCCACGTGGCAGGAGGGGCAGTGTCCCTCTCGTAACTCCCGCCTTAGGTGTCCGCGGGGCAGGAGGGGTGGGGCTGGATCGGGGTCACAGGGGGCTCAGTGTGCCGTGCGCAGACCCCGGCCTCCTTGGCCATGCTCTGCCCAGGAGCTGCACACAGGGCTTACACCGCGCGTATGAGGGTGGCAGCCCTGGGTCCTTGTGGAATCTGTTGTGTGATGAGGGTTTAGGGGATGTGAATCCTGAGGTGCCCTCCCTGACAGGGTCTCAGCTGTGTGAGGACAGAAGCTCTGCTCCCAGGACACGCAGTGGGGGCGGGGTGGAGGAGCTGGCCTTCACAGGGAGCTGCGGAGCCAGGCAGCAGGTCACCCCCGGGGGCTGGCCCTTCCTCTCAGGACCTGTGGCCATCTGACTGCAGACCGGCTCACAGGCTGGCCTCAGATGGGGCCCCCTGGCGCAGCTCTTCCAGCGGGCCCTGGGCAGTCGGCCGTTTTGAGGAGATGGGAACCCAGTTGTGCGCTCTGGCCTGTACTCCCAGTGCCTCACCCTCTGACCTGTGTCCACAGGGTCCCCTCCTGTGCAGGCCAAGCAGGAGCCCCAGGCCAGGGCCTCACACTTCCAGGGCCGGTCCCACTCCCAGGAGCCGGGCACACACACCGCATACCATCGCAGGTCACAGGTACTGGTGGAACACGTCGTGCCAGCCTCGGAGCCTGCTGCCAGGGCCCTGGACGTGCAGCCCCGGCTGAAGGGGCCAGAGAAGCAGTTCCTCAAGTCCCCCAAGGGCTCCGGGAAGCCAGCCGGGGTGCCAGGCAGCAGCCAGTCCGGGAAAGCCTTCAGCTACTACCTGCCGGCTGCCCTGCCCCCCCAGGCCCCTCAGGATGGCCACCACCCCCCGCAGCCTCCCCCGCCGCCCTATGGCCACAAGCGGTCCCGGCAAAAGGGCAGGGAGGGCCACTCGCCACTCAAGGCCCCACACGCCCAGCCCGCCGCGGTGGAGCACGAGGTGGTGCAGGACCTGCCGCCCACGCCAGCGGGAGAGCGCTTCGTGATGCCAGTGATCCACCACCACGAGCACCACCACCACCACGAGCACCACCACCACCACCACCACCACCACCACCACGTCCACCCGTCCTAGCGCCGCCGCTGGCACGCGTCACTCCCAGCACAGCATGGCCCACGCGCCCTCGGCGGGGAAGCAGAGCAGGTGCCCGCTGTGTGCCCGAGGGGAGCCTGTTCCCCCCACCTCCAACAGCGAACAGCAACCGACTGCAGGTGCCCGCGAGGTGGAGGTGGCACAGCTTGGTCACGTGGCCCAGGTGCCCTCTGCTCTCTTGCCCTCAATGCCACGTGGTGGCGAACATGTCTGAGGCCGCTGTGTTTCCCAGCTCTAAAGCTTGTCTGTGTAACCCATAAAACCTGCATGTGAGCGTGGAAGACACACTTGTATCTGCTTTCCTTTATGATTCCAAAGTGAGGCCCTGGAGGGCACGGGACATGCCCGGACGCTGGGGTGGGTGTTCCTCCCAGGGCTTGGTGCTGCTGGCACTGTAGGCCCTCCCAGTGCAAGGCCGGGAGCCGTTGGGGAAGCCGAGGACTTGCGTGGCTCATGTGTCATGAAGCCAGAGGGGCCAGGGTCGGGGGGGCAGCTTGTGGTTAGCAGGCAGCGTCCACAGCTCCCACGGGAGGCCAGGCAGCAGCGCTGGAACGAGAAGTGCCGGGCCTGGGGCGGGAGAGCCCAGACCAGGGAGGAGGGGAGCCTAGGGTAGCACAGGGGGCAGAGGCAGCCCAGGTCCCAGAGCCACGGCAGCTCAGGTGGATGCCGGCGGCAGGACGCAGGGCAGGGAGGGGCGGACGCTCAGCGGAACACGGGGACCGGAACGTTCGTGGTCCCGACACTCATGGGGCAGCTTCTGTGACACGTCAGCTTTGGTGAAAGTCACCATGAGGTGACTGCGTGTCCCCCTGCAAGAGTCAGGAGAGGGCTGCAGGCCAGCAGGATGCACCAGCGACGTTCCTGAGTCTCGCAGCCTGTGGGGACCCACAGTCGCCCCAACAGGAACCGTGCGGTGCCTTCTGGGACCCGGGGGCCTGCCCGGCGGTTCTGCGTTCGCCTTCCTTGTGTTGTTTTTAAGGATAAGGCAAACCGACGGCCAACTGGTGACAGGTGTTTCTCAGGTCTAATAGGAATATCTGCATTTTGTACCATGCCACACCCTGCATTAAAATAGGCTTTTCAAAGATGTGGTCAGTGTTCTTGTTGGTCACTCCGCTCCGCCAGCCGCTGGCCAAGGGCGCGGAGAGCAGGCTGCCTGCGCGGGGCTGTGGGAGGAAGCGTGCCCGTCCCCAGCGTAGAGGGTGATAAAGGTGCACACGCACGTGCACACACTCCATAACTACAGGGGGCCTTTTTTGTTTTTTCCACATTACCGCTCTAAGAAAATCCCAAAATAAACCAGACCCGGTAACAGGAACACAAGGCACCTCTGTCTTGGCTGCGTGACCCCAGCTTTATGGAGAGAAGTTGGGCTCTTTGTGAAGAGGAATCTGTGGAGAAGCCACGTGGCGTTTGCTTATTTTCTGCTTCTCTGCTCCTGGGTGTTTAAAAACCCCTAGGGCCTTCCCAGTGGCGTCTCTTCCGTGACCACTGGAGAACGCTGTGTTCTCGAGGCTCCTGAGGCCAGGGTGCTCACAGCACTCCAGGCTCCTCCTGGAGGCACTGCCTTACATTGAGGTGACTGCACTTCACTCACATGACACCTGCTCTGGAGGCGACACACTAGGAAGGTTCATCTGGGGATGCAGGGATGTCACTCCCGGCCTCATGTTGAGGGGACCTCGTTTGTTTAGTCCCAGAGGACCTGTCAGACCCCTGCACACCCTCTGGGCCAGGCTCAGCCAGCGGTCTGGGGAGGAGGGAGCTCTGCGGGCTTGGGTCCCCACCTGCTTGCCTCTAGGCCTCGGTATTAATAACTGTAAGTGCAGGTGGGAATTCAGCAAACACGAGGCAGGGGTGGGGTTCCAGTGCTGAATGAGCCGCGGAAACAGAGGCACTGCCCCCGCTGCCCACCTCCAGCCGGGGCCTGCCTCACACAGAGGGGCCCTTGGTGCCCTGGGGCGACACACTTAAGCCTGAACGAGGCAAGGGGCACGAACAGGGTTTGGAAGTTTGTCCCCTCCAAGTCTCATGTGGAGATGTGGGCCGCAGTGCTGGGTGGGGCCCGTGGGAGGGGTTTAAGCCATGGGGGGTGGACCCCTGAATAGCTTCGAGCCCTCACTGTGGGGATGGGTGAGCTTTCATTCTGAGTTCTCAGGAGATCTGGTTATTTAGACCAAGGGCCCCCAACCCCCAGGCTGTGGACTGGTCCCGGTCTGTGGCCTGTTGGGAACCGGGCCCACAGCACGAGGTGAGCAGCAGGTGAGTGAGTGTGACCACCTGAGCCCCGCCGTTACGTCCTCACAGGGGCTGGAACCCTGCTGCGCACTGCACGTGTGAGGGTCTAGGCTGCACACTCGAGAATCTAATGCCTGATGATCTGAGGCGGAACCACCATGCACCCACTGTCCGTGGAAAACTTGTCTTCCACGAAACCAGTACCTGCTGCCAAAAGGGTTGTGGGGCTGCTGCTTGAAAGCAGCTGGCACCGTGCCATCTCCCCCTGCTCTGACCATGTGACATGCCTGCCCCTCCTTCACCTTCTGCCTTGAGTGGAAGCTTCCTGAGGCCTCACCAGAAACTGAGCAGATGTGGGCATTGTGCTTGTACAGCCTGCAGAACAGAGAGCCCAATAACCCTCTTTACAAACACCCAGTGCCAGGTATTCCTTTACAGCAACACAAAACAGACTAACGCAAGAGTCTCCCCCCGCCAAAAATAAACCCCACAAAAACCCCATGCATGAAAGTGAGCCAGTGCTGACACGGTCTCATTCATTAAACACCCACAGGTAAAGACCGCCGTCTCATGAGTTACGCTGCAGCAGCTTGGCCTGTGGCCAGGGAGAACTGTGTGTGTGAAGCTGTTGGGCACCATCTCCAGCGGCCCTGGCACCTGGCGGATGGGAAGGGACACAGCACAGGCTGGTGTCAGGTGCTGCTCTGGCTCTCGGGCCACACCTGTCAGGGGGATGTAGGTACCACCAGGAGGAAGGCCGTGCAGCGCTGCAGGCGAGATGGAGGAGGAAGCTCCTCGGAGGACCCCAGCAGGGGCACACAGCCTGCTCCTGGGGCAGCTCTGCCTGCCGTTTGGCCCGGTCTTCCTGCCATGCTGGTGCCAGGAAGCCTTCGCCGCACGAGACCGGGTGGTGAGGGGCACGCAAGGACAGAGGCCTGTGTCACAGAAACCAAAAGCCTTGCGCTTCCGAGTGTAGACTGACCGCCGCATGAGCTCGGAGCTGGACCAGCCTGTACCTGAGTGAATGGGTGAGTGAGTGAATGGGTGGGTTAGTGTGTGAACGAGCAGGTGAATGAGTGAACGGGTGAATAAATGAATGGATCAGTGAATGAGTGAGGGGCTGAGTGGGTGAGTAGGCGAAGGAATGAATGGGTGACTTGAGGGGGTGAGCTGTGAATGAATGGGTGCTTCGGAGTGAACGGACAAGCGGGTGAATGAACGGGCGAGTCCAGGAACAAGAGGATGAGTAGGTAAGGGGAGTGGTGTGCAAATGAGTGTGTGAACGAGTGCCTCAGTAGGCTAGTGTGTGAATGGGTGAATGAGTGTGCAAACGAGTGTGCGAACGAGTGCCTCAGTGGGTTAGTGTGTGAATGGGTGAGTAGGTGAGTGTGCAAA